ATCTATAGAAATGTTCACCATGAATAAGGCTAATAATCTGTCTTTCCCAAAAAAAAAAAAAAAAAAAAAAGGCGGCGCGGGTGGTCTTATCTAATTGACTGTGGACGAGTGGCAATAGAGGCTTTTACGCTCTTGTTGATTGAATACACCTTGTTAGGCATATAATTTTGTCTTTGATTTGTATGCTTTCGGTCCGAGTTATGTAGTAGCTGTTGCCCTACACGAGTAATGGACGATTTGTTGTCTTATTACGTTTCATTTGTATTTTTCCTCAAATTAATTGTCACTGTCACAAATTTGTAAACATCGACGTCAGAGGATCGCGATTACTGTCCAATTCTTGGTTTTCACCAGTTATGTGATCAAAACTAAAAATCGTAACCATTCAATAAATAAATTCAAGAATCTGGGATATGATAGATGATTGCTATATAAACAACTTCGCCAAGAATCAGTTTTCTGCTGTTTTTCATTCGCACGTTATTCGCAGAGGTGTGTCACCCAAATTTATAGAACTTTATGTGGAGACGCAATGTCTGTGCCCTTCGGAGGGGCACAAACATGGCTACCCTAAAGTAACAGAAACATTTGTAATTGAGCTTTGCTATTGAAACGAAAAATGTTTACTCTAGAGCTCCGAAGCATTGAAATAAATGCTTCTTGTAGTGAAAGCACCGTTTAGTTAGCAAAAAACTAAAGCGATAACTCATCTTTTCACCTACGCGACAGCCTTTTCGGATCGCCATTTTCATGTCACGCAACGCAAAAGCTTGGAAATTCAAACGTGCTCTATTACAAGAAGAAGAACCCCTGTCGAGCCAAAACGTTGTCAAACGTCCAGTTCCTATAGGGTCTTTTGCCTGATGAAACCAAAACCTCAGAAGGAAAGGTAATGTTTAATTTTGGAATATGACTGCGTCACATGAAAACCAATAATTACTGTTTCTAACGCCTATTTTTTTTAGTTTCCAGCCAATCTCTCCTATATTTTGATGGAAATGCATTCCTCACCCTGAATCGCTTGTTTCAAGTTTCCGAAATCATTGAAGCACCTACTGAGAAGAAGTGAAAATATCGTATTCATTCTCTTGAAATTTGTTTTAACGGCTTGAGAAGAGCTGATGGAGGACGAGCTTAGTTCAAGGAGCCTGTTTGTGACAGTCTTAGAAGTGAGCTTCATGATTGTGTTAAATTTTGTTTCTCTACTGGGAAACACGTTAGTCTGCCTCTCTGTTTACAGAAACACCGGGCTCCGTACGACGACAAACGTTTACATTGTGGCATTGGCAATCAGTGATTTGCTGTGCGCCATCTTTGTGATGCCCCTGGCCGCCGGAGTGCTCATCTCAGGCAGATGGCCCTTTGGCGAAGCCCTTTGCCAAATGCACGCTTTCTTCAGCCTGTTTGTTGTGTACATTTCGCCAGTAACCATGGGTTTTACAGCCGCGAACAGATATGTGAGAATTTGCAAGTCAGAGCAACAGTATAAAAGATTCTTCTCGAAATGGAGATCACGCATAGCGCTTGCTTCTGCGTGGGCTTTTGTAACCAGCTACAATTGGATCACGCGTCTTGCAGGTTTACAGGGATTTTACTTTAACCCTGGATATGCAGCCTGTTTAAACGAGCATTTAAACGACTCTGCGAAGATTATCCATTACTTTGTCGTGGTTGGACTCTTCTTTGCTCTTCCACTTGCGATAACGATATTCAGCTACAGGAAAGTCTTCAAAAAGATTCAGCAACACAACGCGGTGTCGGTGCGTGCTCTTCAACGCCAAGACGGAGAGACGACATTCTCCAGGCACGAGATTCGTTTAAGCAGATCTTTGTTTGCTGTGGTTTTTGCCTTCATGTTGTGCTGGGTACCCTTGTGGATCATCATCATCCTGACGCGTTTCAACATTATTGAAACGATGCCACGAAATGTTCAACTCCTGTGCGCTTTCCTCCTGAATTTGTCCAGCACCATTAATCCCTTCATCTACGCAGGAATGAATCCCATGTTCAGAAGAGAATTTCGGCGAATCATCTGTGGCAATCCAGGAGAGAAAGTTGAGGACACACAACAAGCATCCACTACAGATGCAAAACAAAGATCAAATACGCTTTCGCTAAGATCAGACAATGTGGTAATCAACCAGCAGCCCGTTAAGTCAGGCGATTTTGAGTGTCGTCGAATGAACGACGACGAGAACTGACGAAAAACTGAACAAAGGTCTGAAAACAGGCTATAAGGATGTGGATACTGAGTAATCCCATTACAGCTAAGAAGACAGCCAATCTACACGTTGGTGACAAGATTTATTTTAAGCTGTAAAGAAGAACAGCTGAACTCATGTCTAACTGAGAAAGTATTTCCCTACATTGGAAAATTAGATCTGTAAATTTTAATTGTATAAGTAGTTTCTGGACAAAATTGGTTTGTTTGTATAAACAAAACCAAAACAGACTTTGGTGTAGGAGCATTTTTGAGGTTTTTTTTTTTTTTGTATGTGTGTGTGTGTGTGTAAAAAAATACCTTTTAGTCAACGGGTCTGGGGTTTGTTATAAGCGGGTCAATGGATGAGTGAGAGAGAGAGAGTGAGTGCATGAGAGATGTATGTATGCCACACCAATCAGATTGGGGCTACCATAAACAACCAATCAAATAACCGCTTGTGAAGGTGAATCATATTTGTGAAGATTTTATCTCGATTTCAGAACGGCCGTCTTTGTTTCTCTGTAAACAGAAACAGGAACTCTTGTATTGGCCTTATTCCGACATTTTCGATGCTGCGTTTACCGTGGTTAAGCCCAGGACTTTGTAGAGGGGCTTCCGCAGATTTTAAAATTCGATTATCGGCCGAGGAATCATAGTCTTTGGTATACACTTACATGTCATCAAGGCTTTGCTTTTCGCATTACTTGAAATTTCGAATGAAATGAGTCTAAGCCGTTCTACAACTTGGGGATTTCTAGGACAGGAACATTTTTTTTTTACACGTTTGCGATGGTGAGGAAGCTTTCGGCCGTGGTGGTATTCGCCAGGTCAGTTCCCATCGACATCATTTGCATTACGTGTAGTTCACGAAAAGGGAATTAAGTTGAAACCATTTATGTTTGCATAGAATTTTTCAGTTTGTCAATGCAAGTCTCAATTAAGTGGCGCTGTTTACGGAGTAATACTGTCTTCTCGTTAAAACGTTTCTTGGAATGAATACTGAGATACTCATTTGAAGTGGTTTTCTCTGTCAAAACCAAAGGAATTATCGACAGCTAGTTATGAATGATGGCTGGTTATGAATGAGAACACTGCTGGAGTTTTGAAATTTGTTTTTGTCACAAGTAAATGCAACGAGATATTTTTAATTGTTAGTTTCAAATGGTAACTTGGCACTTTTGTTTTTTCACGCACGAGTAGTTTGAAATAAAACTGACGAATCAGTGACTCTTGTTCACACGGTCAGAATGAACAAGGAGTGTCTGGAAAACCCGAATAGCGAATAGCGAATAGTCGCGAATAGCGAATAGTCGCGAATAGCAAATAGCGAATAGTCCCGGATAGTGCAAATAGTCTCAAATAGTGCGAATAGTAGCCAACAGTCGCGAAAAGTGGCGAATAGTGACGAATAGTCGTCAATAATCACCCCTTTAGGTGTAATATCCTGCGTTAATTATCCAAATAAGCAACAGAATTTTAGTGAATTTATTACCTTTTCTTCTCTGGACTCAGGCTCGGGCTGTCCATCGCCGACATTAAGAAAACAGAAAACACAAGGATAACCTAATAAAGACGTATTTACGTTTTTGGAGCGGTTAAAACAGACGAAATTACGTCTAGAAACACCTTTTGTCCTGATAAGCGTCTGTGCTTTTCGGCAAGAAAATCCCGTCCTACGTTGCTGTGAGGTTGACTGCGAGATACTGGGTACCCTATTTGCTACGATTTGCCACTATTTGCCACTATTTGAGACTGTGCGCCACTGTTCGCACTATTGGAGACTATTCGTACTATTCGCCATTCGCTATTCGGGACTATTCGCTGTTCGCTATTCGCGACTATTTGCTATTCGCTATTCGGGTTTTCCAGACACCCAACAAGAAGCCAATCTAGCAGCACGTCCAGACTTGATATAAAAAAGTCCCTTTCTTTAAACTCTTCAGCGGCATTTTAATATCTTGCATTAATGGCAATTCTTAAGAACGGAATTTTTTTTAGCAAAGATTTTCTTAAGGTTTGTTTTATGGAAACTCTTCAAATATTCCCGAAGACTCCATGGCGGCAAGTTAAACGACATATTAATTAGATTAAACTTTGAGGAGACACAGTGGTTCTTTCGTTTTGAAACAGATTCCTTGCGTAGTTCAAAGAGATAAACTTACGTCTTTCTGTAACTGACTTTTTGTCACCAAAAACGCCCTCAGGTATTGAGAAAGGTAATGGGACGAGGAAATTTCCCAAAGTCTACAGATTTCACGGCGTCTTGTAAAATTTATAGAGTTTTTAATGTGTTTGGTTGTTTTCAATTAGGTAACACTCTTTACCTTCAGTAATGTCTTCCTCTTTAAATGGGTTTTGAAATCGATATCATTTTGAAGTGGTTTCGTGGGAAATCAAAGCCGAAGAAAACTGCGATCATTGCTGGCTACAGAATAAGGCCATAGTATCGCGTGACGATGTTATAATTTCATTCTGGTGGTTCTTGTTATAAAATGAGTCAGAAAAATAATCCAGAATCAACACCAATCTGGCGTTTACCGTTAGCTACTATTGCAGACTGTATGATGTTTAGCTGCCTTGCTGGTAGCAGCTCCACATAGTTCTAAAAAACAAAGCCACTTATCGATTGCCAAAATCAAGCCTCGGTAAAAATAGGCTTGATATCACATATCCTAAGGTGAAATAAATTATAATTTTTTTTAGCTGTACATCGTAACCAAAAAAACTGTTGGATTCAGCTGCAACAATGCTATTTAATTCTAGAGAGAAGTTTCTAAAAAAATTCGGGTGTTCTTGTATGAAAGCGTGAGTTTTGTCCATAAGAGAGCAATGAAAAATGCAATGAATCTTAGTGCTGCTGGGTGCTGTAATCCGAGAAGTTAAATAAACCAGTTTGTTATTGTTACCGACGATCAGGAAATCTGTATGGGAACAACCCTGCTCTGCATTGACACTCCTTACATCCTCCTTTCCTTCTATTTACTGGTTTAAATATTTGCCGTGTGGAAGTCCGATGCAGAGAACCTTTTATTAAGGCTTCTCTTGAAGAGGTCTAAAGATTCTGTAGAACGACGCTCCTTGGTGAGATCATTCCGTGGAGAAACTCGCCTGAAACTGAAGCTACGCTTCAGCTAGTCAGTTCTTGGTTTTGGTAGAAACATTTTTTTGTGTGGCCTCGCGAAGATCAGAGGACTAAGTTTTGGGATTGAACATGTTACAAAGATAAACTGGGGCGAGCTTATTAACGCATTTGTACATTTGCCATTTGCCTTTAGCTAAGCTTCGCCCTTCTAACTGATAAGTTATCGCAGCTAAGCGAGTTGAGAAGAATAATTTTAACGAAGTCTTCCATATCCTCAGTGCTTACACCTGGAAAAGAGTTGACGACTACCTTGTTGCTTTTAGAAATGCTCCAACCACGAATATTTTGGAAGATCCAGTCACCTGCAGTAACGGTTACTGATTTTCTTACTTGCTCGTTGTTGTTGGTATTAGCACCAGCATGTGAATCTTCTGTCTTTGATGACGACTTTGTAGACTGGTTGGTGTTCTTCGAGCTTCCTCTGTTAAGCCGTGTATTTTGTTGAATTGAGCAATCGCCTTGTTCTGCGTCAGACTCAGCAAAGAGAGAGGACCTTATTAGCATTTCTTCCTTTCGTCATGATTTGAAGAGCGGTTCTTTAAGAGTCTCTCTCTTCGGAGATTTTTTTTAAGCACGTTGTTTTGCTCTCTGTGCTGGTCTTTAGTTCTGTAGATCTTGGTTCTTCTGTTAAAGGGTGCGAATTTCCTGATCATCATATCTTTCGTTCTCGGTTTCTTTGAGCTAATGAGGTTCAATGAGTATTTCACAGATAATTTTGATTTCGGGTCACGGATTGTTTTGATTTCGGACCACATTTTCTTTTTTGCAGTGAAAACGGAGAAATTCAGAAAGACACAGTTTCATGTGGAGAACGCTCCGTTTCCAGGTTTTCGGCGAACGCTACGTTGACTTCCTTTTTTTTGTTCCAAGAGAAGATTTGTTATTAAGTTGAACAAACTTGTTACATCATTCTGTAATTTATAGAAAAAGAATTATACAGATTGTGGTCGTTGGCCGTATTAACGGGGTGGTTGGATTAAAGGGTTTTTCTTACTAGAAAATTTATGGGCGTTTCACTTGGACAAAATTAAGTCGCCGTAATTTACGAGATAACCATATTAACGAGGTGAGCTCAAGGCAAGGGTTCCGCCGTGTATATGTTGTGGACATAAGCACATTCCAAACCAATTACAGGTGGCTCGTGTTGCTTAGTTGCTTTCCCTCAAAATTTCTCTAGAAACGTTCCCAACGTTTTTCCTTTGGACCTTTATCATTTCCGAGAATTTACGACTGCCATTGATTTTCCTTGTTCCAAGTCTTGGCTGAGAGTTGGAGTAAATGACGTTATATTCTCAAAAATACCACACGAGTTGAATTGCACGAATATAAGAGCCAAAGTTTTTGTTATTCTTCATGCGAGGTTTTTACTGCTGCCAAGAATTAACTGAACTTTCCCTGTTTACATCTGGTGCAGTTCAGTGTGATGAAAGAAACACTGAGAGGATTGTAGAATTGTTACACTTTTCCTCTATCCTGCAATGCAGGCCTATTTTGGCGAGCGAGCGCAATTTGATCGAGCGAACACCATCTTCGCTTGATTTTGCATTAATTTCCGTTATTTCCTGAATTTTTAAGAAAATTGTGAAAACCAAGATGGCGGATCCAAGATGGTGGGTTAAACGACGTCATTTGACGTCGAATGACGTCGCAAGTCGAGTCTTGTCCACCGATATGTCAAAGGCATTTGATTCGCTACACGCTCCCCTATTGATCGACAAACTAGAGCATACGGTTTCTCTAACAACTCACTAGCCCTGATGCGATCATATTTTACAAATAGGAAAAACAGGGTTAGGATCAGTCAAGAAACAACAAGTGATTGGTACGCTACCGCGAGAGGATGTCCCCGGTGATCGGCCTTCGGGCCTCTTCTTTGGAATGTTTTCCAAAACGATCTACACCTCTCCACTGATGAAAACAGGTTATTTATGTATGCGGATGCCCACCAGCTGTTTTCAGTGGCGAAGACAACTAACGAAGCGGAAAGCATTTTAACTGAGGAAGGAAACAACATCTCTGAGTGGTACAACAAGAACTTTTTAGAAGGAAATTTTTCAAAGATAATGCGTCTGGACCCGAGGAACTGTCATAAGGATTTACACATTGTTATTAATGACACTGTAATTGATCAGAAACCAGA